TTTAAGATTTTCACCAATTAACAACTATTGTTAAAAAATAATTATTCGTCACATTTTTCATGGCATGAATTATATTTAAACATATAGGTGTCAAGCCACTTAAGGCAGCAGCCTTAATTGTTATGAAGTGTAACACATGGTTAAGTCATTAAATACCTCATAACTTTGTCACCTCCTGTTTTGTTTTGTTTCATCGTCAAATGCAATATTGAATTTATTATTGTTATTAGTTATTATAAGTATCATTGGTGCAGAATTTAAACTGGGGTCATGATTTGAAAAAACTGATGGGGTGAATACTTTAAGAACATGTTGTCTAAAGTAGATCCCATAAACATTATAAGACTGTATGTATTTATGTAGGTTTAGTGGACAGAGATGGCATTAAGTTTTCATTAGATAATTGATCAAACTGGAGAAAAATCTATCATGCAGTTTTTCTGTTTGGGTAAAAAGTAGCCTAGATTCAGGAGTGAATATTTACCTGTTGATATATGTATATTGAAGCAGTTAACTATTTATTATGTTCTTGGTTGAATGGAGTTTATCACTTATTTACATTTAACTCCAATATGACCATTACTTACATATTTGTGTAAAAAAGTTAAATGTGAGATTTAAAATTCACAAGTCTGCTTATTTCTTTTTAGTTATTGATCTTAATTAAGGATATTAAATTTCATAATTAGATGTATATACTCTAAGTAACAATAATAGTTTTTTTCAACAATGCTTTTGAGTCAAAGTTGTACTCCAGTATATCATAAGACACCTTCTACAGCCACTGAAACATAGGGGTGGAGGCAACACTTAATTTAGTTGGTTTGAAAAAAACATTCTTACAGACTTAATAAGATGTCTGAAATGATATTGTTCATGTAGTACATTGTATTTAATCTATCTCACAGGTGGGCGGGTCCCTCCGTTCCCCCTCCTTTAGTACCTTAAGTACCTATTAGAAATTTAAAATTTTAGGTGAAAACAATGATGAAACCATCATTGACTTACAAGTATGTACATAGATTTGTTTGTAACATTGTTGGATATAAGTTTTCTTATTAGCTCATGCAATCAATCTAAGGAAAAATCAGATGTTATAATCTAAGTATGTGAGGCCTAGTGCACATCTTTTTTTTTTTTAAATGTTGTTAATATATTTGTAAAGATAAGTAGGATAAGTTTTATAATCTAACCCTACTTGTTACTGTTTGCTAGCTACTTAGTGCACCAAATCATTATACCTGTGAAGTGGTGTAACTATCAGACAGGTACAGCCCTCTCTCCCTGAACCTTCCCGCTTAGATCCAATTTTCACATAATGCCATTGACCATTATTACTATCAACCCGCTAGTAAGAGATTACCTCAATGTAGTTTTATCCTAATTGTAACTACTAGCACGGTGAAGGAGTACCAATGGTACTGTACTTTATTGGTGAAGCACTGCTTTACAGGTAGACCTTGGTAGTACAAGTTACAGCTCTTAGAACTGGCTTCATAATCCCAGTACGGCATGGTTTCCTTGCTTTCATGGCCACAGAAGGCAACCAAGCAATAAATCCCATGCCATTGTTAACCAAATTGCAATATTGAAGTCTAAATGTTACTCCATTGGAACTCCACTACACTGATTATCTGTTAGAGGCATTCACCCCCGTCTGCCCCTCCCACTTTACCTCAGAGCTCACCAATCAGATGGTGGGTTCTGGGGTGGATATAATTTTTTAAAATTTGTTTTGCATGACCTTTGACCCTAATTATCTCTCACCAATCAGACGATAGGATGCAAATTTGCTGTCATGGCAACCAAACCATTCCCCAGGGTTTGATTGGCCAGGCAGGACATTAACTCAGTTGGTTTGTGCATAATAACTTACTCTAATGGCCCTGGCACGCTTCCCTTTTTTTCTCCTTAGTTGATTGGCATGCTTGTTCCTGGCCAATACCCAATAAAATTTGAAGTAATGTTGTCTAAAAATTTATTTGGTCCTTATTTGCAGGGGGCGGGTCCCTCATAGTGCTATACAGACGTCAGTCATGGCCCCAGAAGTGTGCTGATGTAAAGCACTCCTTGTGCCAGATTCTGATCTTGTATACACTCTCTTACACACAGACTATATGTATATGTAAACATCTGTATATGTGAGCTCTCCCTCTACAGTTACTATGGATGTGGCGACTCCCAGTTTTAATCCCCATTGAAGGATATACTAGGTTTTGAACAAATGAATTAATTGAAAGATATGGAATGGCTTAGTGAGAGATTAGGCCACAATTGGTAGTGATATTAATTAAGGTGTTAGGTAAGACAGATTCTGATAACTATTTACTAAAGGTGAGTTGCAGAGGAATGTTAGCACAGTTACCAATAAGTAAGGCCAAAGTAAATTAATGCAAAGTTTAATGGTACTGGTACCTTTTGATAAATTAACTTAAACCACATATGTTTTACTGAAGATCAAAATGCCTTTCAATGAAAAAAACATATTAAATAAAAGTTTCTGTAAGAAATTAATTTACAGTTCCAAAGTATATAAAAATATAGGAAAAGGGTCTCAATGTCAACATCCACATTTCACCTTCACCTTGGTTTGAATTGACCTTCACCCTTTGCTGTGGCCTTCACCTTTAAGTATGACCCTAGTCTTTGCTGTAATTTTTTAAATATTGTTATTTATATTTGTCCCAATATATCTTAGATACTGCCTTAACTATACCTTTTGCATGCCATTCACCTTAAATATATTACTTATTATATGAAATGATTCAAATTGAACATTTAGAAGCCCCTTTCCTGTCAAAATAAGCAGTAAAATAAATCTTTTTATGGAGAAGTTTTCACTGAAGGAGATTGGACAGGTACTTGGTCTGTCATCAGACAGTATGTTTGGATGTTTAACAAACTAAAGGTAACAGTGGGCCTTAGCCAAAAGGATGGCCGGTACCCTTTTACAGCTTTTACAGACAAGTCACATGTTCATCTTAACTGTAATGTATACAACAAAAATAGTGTTTCCTGTCATATGCTTGGATAAGTTAAGAAACTAGGTAATGTTTAACCAAACATATGGTGCAAGTATGTAAAAACTTCCCATAACATGGCTAAGGACTGTTTAAGTCCCTTTTTCCTGGAAATGTCAAGTATTATGTATGTATAACGTAATAGCCCTGATTTTGTAATATAATTCCGATGAGATGGACATTCATATTTGCAAATGTTTTCTGTCCTCATAGAATCATATATTTTATAACAGTTTTTTAGCAGTGTAAAAGGTATATTAGAGTGAAAGAAATAATGATTTTATTATAGAAATAATCAATTAGATCATTAATTGCTTGATTTTGTTATATAGGAACTGCTCTGGTTCGTATTTAATTAATTATGTAAGCTCAGTAATTTTGTTGACAATTTTGTCATTAAAAAAAATTTTTTTTAGACAAAATATTGCAAATATGACTTTGAATACTGCAAAATGTGCATGTGCTTTACAGGTAGCTTTCATTATAAGTCTAGACACCAGTGAAAAAAGCTTGTGATTAGCATCAACCTGTACTGCAGTTCATTAATGAAGGGCATCCTGTATTAAGTGAAGCAATGTGTTATAAGTGAACTCTATCAATAAGAAACAGCAGAGAAACATTGATTAAGCACTTAAATAGAGGGCATTACCGAGTATATTGTTTAAGGTGATTGTGACTTCATTTTGCTGGTTACAGGAATGGTAAAACTGGTGTATATGTAGTTCTGAGCTTAAATGTAACTTATTGTGTTGTAAAATTAATGGCCATTTTGCCTTCAAATGACCTGAATCCCATATTTCAGAAATTAAGATATCAAGAAAAATTAGTGTTCATGCTCAATTAAGCATAAAACAAGGAATCAAGCTTAATATTCATCAGCAAATAAGTGTTGACTGTTTACCAGTATTTAAAAACTATGGTTCAGTCCCCTTGAGCACCCCCTTGGAATAGTCAAAAAAGATATTTTCAAAAGCAACTGGATTAACATCTGTAATAGTAAAATAAAATGTGCTAAAAGGCTGTTAAAGTTTTTAAGGATGGACATATTTCATGTTGCCTTGCTCAGCCATTACCAGAAAGTCACAATAGTTAATGTAATTTATGTACCAATGTTTCTAAAACAACAGCTGTTCACTTCAGTTATATCAGTCAGAGCCTTTTCTGATGTTGACACTGAAAAAAAAAAACTGCACAGGCTTTATTGCAGTGAACATATTCCCCATATGGTTAAAACATATAAACCAAAAGAATTTCAAAAGTCATAAGTATGCAAGAAGTAAGTAATTGTAAGCGTTTTCATATAGAATTTAAACAACAGCAGCATTTTAATGACTTATTTTAATTCTGGCATGTGATTATGTTACGAGTATGTTCCAACAAAAAATCTATACGCGTGTGCTTGAACTTTTTTGTAACTAAAAGTTCTTGACATATATGCAACAGGAAAAATTAGTTTATTATTTTACATGATTGTTTCCGTTTCCTTAGCAGGTTGAAAAAGTTTTTTGTCATTCAACTGGCAGATTGTTTATGTTTTATTTTTGACTTCCTTCCCTTTTGCTTCATGTTCAAGTATATAAAGTAGTGACATGTTGTGATAGATTTGCAAGCATTATAAATTAGTGCTTAGTATGCAGTGCTATTATTAATTGCATTGCTTACAATGGCATAATATTGAAAGAACCAAGGGAATCAACAGAAAAATGAGAAAAAGATGATCAGAAACCTCTTAGTGCAAAATATGTCTGAATGTAATGTGGTTAATAAATAAGGTTGTTCATCTTTTTCTCATAATTTCACTATAACAGTCTTAATTGCTTATAGGCTCCATAGCAAAAATGTGTAAAATGTGCATAAATTTGCAGTTTAGTCCTGCAATTAATTTATTTTCATACATACCAGATAACAATGTTTTCCCATTAAATTTAAAGTTTATAGACATTGACAAAACTAAAGGTGCATTTTTTTTTTCATTTACAGTGTTCCAAATCTTGTGCCCATGGCTCCAGAAGCAGATCTGTCGTCTGCACGGACCAAGATGGCAGCAGCCTCCCTGATTCTGCCTGTGAGGACCCCAAACCAAGGACAGTAAGAGGATGCAGAATGTCAAGATGTCCAAGGTGGCATGCCACCGACTGGAGCAATGTAAGTTGACATGCAGTTAAAACATAAACAGGGACAATTTCCTCTTATTCTTTTTTTTTTTTTTTTTTTGACAAATTAAGCAAGTGCTGTGCTTGATGAATAACCATGAAGTGGACTTCGATATGTCATATATTTAAAAAATGTTCAAAATTCTTTAGATGCAAAATGAAAAAACACATAAATAAAGAACATAGAAGTTTGGTATTGTATTAGTAGGCTTCATAATGGTGAGAGGTGGCAATGAACTACATAAAAACAAATGAGAACAACATGCTTGTGTACAGTAATTCAGGTGAAGTTTAAAAACCATGATCAAAGTAAAACTTCTGCAGTATTTTTCTAGTGATTTATTCCCCATGTCTTATTTTATTTCGTTTTATTTTATTTAATACCACACATTTTAAATTGTAAGATCTGTCTGGCTGAAGTGTTCTAAAATACCAAATGAACTTTAACAATGTACCGGGTATACTGCCAACCAAATTAGTTCTGCTGTGAATAATTGAAGGGGAGAGAATACAAGAAATTGGTTGTACAGTACGGCATGTGCAATCAAAACCATTTACTTCCTCCCCATAAAGCCCAGACAAGAAGAGAAAGAGAAAGTGCTTTCTGCAAATTATATATGATCACAGAACAAGTGAGTTTGGTGCAGCCCGTGCTAGGCATGCGGTTTCAAAGCACCAAGCCTCATTAGCTGAGTACAAAGCCTTGCATAGGATTCTTATATTGGTTGGACACTATACAGTGTTCCATGTGGTCAACAGTTTTCTGCCAAGTAGATATTTTTCTTCAGGCTGATTCCAAATATGAAAAAAAAAATTAATTGGAATGGGCAGTAAAAAGTTGTCCCCCCCCTTTTTGTGACATTATTCCAGATGTGTTTATGATATGTCACCTGTGCAAAAATATGATGCAAGTTGCTGTAGATGAATCTTTCAAACATAAAAAAGAGCAGCTTCATGAGTAATGGTACTTTAAGCCCCCCATCCCCTTTTTTCTAAAGCAGTTACAATTAATAAGTGATAAAATGAATGTAGGAAATTGATAAAAAATATTAATTATAGCGTATAGTTTATTCTACCATGTAAGCCAAGCTTTCTTCCAATTACATGAACCAATTATGATACATTCATACATTTTCTACGTCTGATATTTCTTAATCCAATAAAAATACAATGCCACCCGCCTCCATTTCAAATATCACATTCAATTTTTTCTCTCATTCTTTTTGATACATCTGTGTTTTCAGCTGTGTTGTTGTTGTTGTTTGGGAACAATTGCTAAGAGCTGTGAACATGTTTAAGACCTCTCGCAGTTTCTTGCTCCCTTCTGACGACTGTTTTAGATTAAAGTGCATTTATGTTGCATGAGAAATGAGACGTTGATGAACACCAGATTCAGTTATAATTGTTATTCAGCTATCCTTTTTTTTTTTTTTACTTTATTCTTTTTTTACCACCCAAGGTGTTAGTGTAATGTAGCTAAATTATAAAACTGTGGCATTTGAGTTGGATTGGGTTATTGGAACGCTTGAGGTTCAAAAACAAAGCACCTAACATTTACATTGAATTTGTTTGAATTTGTTTTCAGAAATAAAAAAAGCAAAGAATTTTTTTTTTACAAAATACCAGTAGATAATATGAGAGTCATGATAACAGTCCAAGAGTGTTTATGCTTGGAAACACTTAAAAACAGTTAACATGTAAAAACATCATTTGCACTTGGTCTTTTTATCAAGAAATGATTTTTTCTTAAATCCTCTCTATTAATAGTGTGACACAGCCTGTGGTAGTGGCCATCAGTATCGCAGCGTCGTCTGCCGAGCAGGCTTAAAGGTGATCAATCCAGAGCTTTGTAAGGGGCTCCAGAAACCAGACGCCAGGAAGACCTGTCAAGCAACTCCCTGTGAAGATTTTGATTGGAAAGTAGGAAGATGGTCTAGGGTGAGTGAAGTTAATTCTTAATTATTCAACTCCTCGTAAATTTTTAAAACATTGCTGTGATTTGTGTAAATGTGAAGATATATATTAGAGATTTATGATTGACATTTCTTTATTTTCTTTAGCTTATTAAATTGGTCAGTTAAAGCTGTTTTGGCCCTTGATAATTCTAACTTGTTGAAATTTGTCAAGAAACCATATGTATGATGAAATGTGCTGAAAAAAATACTAAGTTAAAATACTTGAATGATATATGTGCTATAATGGAGCTATGACATGTTTTCTTCTTTCCCTTGTAGTGTTCTCATAGCTGCGGCATTGGAATCAAGAGAAGAGCCGTCAAGTGTGTTAACATAAAGACTGGAGCAGACGGCCCAGATCAGAATTGTGCTAAAAAGAAAAAGAAGCCTAGATCACAGCGAAGATGTGCGGAAGCTTTTTGTCCATATGCCTGGCACACTGGTGACTGGACTGAGGTAAGTGGAGGAAATTGTGTTTGTTGAGACTGATTCTTGGTTGTTGAGACAGGAAATTGTGTTCGTATCAGCTGGATTGTGTTAAAGGCTGAAAACACCCAGAAACAGTTTGTAGCTGAGTAGAACAACAAATTATTGATTTTAATTACATAAAGTCCTGCTGAGTTGTAATTTATAGATACATAATTCAAGATCATGTGATATTATATCATCTTCTGGTATTTGATATTTTAAACTTTTTCCATCAGTGCTCAAGATCGTGTGATGAGGGCTTGCAGACGAGGACTGTGACCTGTCACGTTGTAACCCGCGAGGGGTGGATCCTACCTGGTGCCGTGCAGTCGGGGTGCGAGGACAAAGAGAAACCGAGAAGTGTGCAGTCGTGCAACCTTGGGGCATGCAGTGGACATTACTTCTGGAAACCAGAGAAATGGGGACCTGTAAGTATTATATGTTAGGAGCCTGCTCTTTTGAAAGGATCGAATTTGTAAATTGATTTGGCAGTCTTAGTTTTATGAGTTCAGAACTTAATTAAGTGCTATTAGTTTTGCGTCAGTATAACTATAATAGTCTAAAATATGAGTTCAGCTACAACGTAGATAAGCTATTTGTTGAATGTTTACAATGTTAAACAGGTTTTTGTCATAAAAGTTTGTGAGATTTATATTTTCTGATCTGTTTACAAGAACTTGTGACTTTCTTTTTGGTCGATCTCGGCAATTAATGAAAAGATTTACAGCACACATGGTGACTGTATTAAAACAAAATTTTAATGTAGTTTTCCTATGATTAGTTTACAGAAAAAAAAAATGTTCCTGTTTACAAATTTAGAAGTTGCATTTTGATGTCCTATTATTTGTTTGTTGCTAGTGTTCTGCAGAGTGTGGGCGTGGTATAGCTAAGCGTAGGATGCAGTGTGTGGACACCAGGGGGCGACGTACTGCCAAGAGGAGATGTGATAAAAAATACAAACCAAAGAGAAAGAAATCATGTTATGAGAAACCTTGTAAGACCATTGGATTTTTAGATTGCTATTCTAATTTTTGGATTTTTTATCCCCCCCTCCCCAATAAATAATTTGATAAAAATGAGTGATAGATTATAATGAAATTTGACTGTGTCTGAACTGATAGGTGTATAGAATGGGCAGTAAAGATGTCAGAAATTTGAGATCTATTTATGGCAGTATTTACTAAATTTGATCAAATTAATTTCATTGTCTAAAGCACATAATTCTTATGTAATGAGTTGGGCTCATTTGATTAAAATGTATAATAATAGATAAAAATTACAGTATATACAAACAATTATATATGAAAAATTATAAATTAAAATAAGGTTATATTTGAATAATTTTCAATGAATAATTATTAATAAGATACTGTATGTGAATAAGTGAGGTTTTTGAAGGTAATATCACAACATTCTTTTACAGGCTATGCAAAAACATGCAAAGAATTGAAGAAGCACACATCAGTGAGGAAAGATGATGAATATACTCTACTAGTACATGGGCAGCTATTGAGGGTAAGACCCCATTCCCACAGATTTTAGATCGATCTATCCCTGTGGGGAGTCTCACTAGATTACTGTCAGCTTAGCCAGCTTAAGCGTCTGTCCCACCTACTAAAAGCTGTAAGGGGGTAATTAACTACTGTGCATGCTCGGCTGACATCAATTTAGCGTGAACCCCCAGGGAGTTAGGTCGATTTAGATGGATCGATCTTAGTCTATAGGAATGCACTCTTAAGACCAACTGAGCAGTATAAGTCTTGCATTGGGTTGGTGTCTGTACGTCTGGTAGCTTTTCTGTTTGGCCTTGCCACTTTGCTACAGTAAATGAGTCTTTGATATTGATAAAACATGTTCTCTGTAGTTATATATGTGTGACTTAAAAGATATGAGTGCAGTGCATAAATTATTGCATCGTTAATTAGAATGAATAATAAAGATGTGAGTAATGCATCTGCTTCATTTTAGAAAGAGCAGTTTTTAGCTGTAGATAAGGATTTATGTATTACATGTTATTTCATATAATACTGCTGTTTATATTTGAATTCATATAGGTAATTTTAATTTGTGGTTTATATTTTTTTAAAATATTTTTTAGATATACTGCAAGGACATGAAAAAATCAAATCCCAAAGAATATCTCACTCTTCCAAGTGGACCAACAGAAAACTTTGCTGAAATATATGATAAAAGGTTGGTACTCATTTAACATTTAAGTACATATTAGTTTGCTTTTAATGTCATTTTCTAAGGTTATGTATATATTGTAATTGTTTCATTTAAAAGATAAATTTTTAGATTGGTATATATATGTACTGTACTAGATAAATGAACAAGTAAAAGAGTAATATTGTACATTTTGACACATTTGAATTAATGTTATTATACAGACAACTTAGGGTATATTTACAGTGAAACTATCATACTAGAATTTGAACAAACTTTGTGGGGACTCTCACTGATTGCAGTCAGATTTACAGCTAGGTTAACACTCCTCCTCTTGTTTCCAACATACTCGTATATTCAACAGCTTTTCTGTATATTACTCAACACCAGTGGATGCATACAGGTAACTTTATTTATTGTACCACCAGTGTAAGACTGGCGGTACACATGGTTTTAGTCCCGACTCGTTTCGTTTATTTATCTATTCATTATTTAAATTATTACAGACTGTTGCTCCCAGATACATGTCCGTACAATGGTACCAGGTATACGAGGTGCCACTGTTCTAGAGATGCTTACAGTCGGTCTGGATACACAGAGTTCAACAAAGTACGACTGGATGTAGAGAGTTTTAAGATAATTGGTAAGTATATATTTCCAGATATTGATTGAACAGGTCCAGTAAGTGCTAGGCATAAATTTGAAAGGAGACTAATTTAGTTTCTCAATTATCTCGGGCTATAAATTCGACTCTAAACGTAACTTTGTACAAACCATTTTTGTAATGTAAGGTATTAATTTAATATTATTAAATGGTTTTCAGGTGATGATTTCAGCTTCAGTCACAATAGTGGTGCTAACAGAATACCTCTAGGAACTGCCGGGGATTGCTATAGTTCGGTGGAATGTCCCCAGGTAACCAAGGGCTTAAATTCCATTTTACATTTTGAATCGCTGGCTGGCTAATCATTCTAGGGCTTAAATCTAATTTAATACCCAGTGTTATATTTTGAATGACTGACTGGCTAATCTTTCGGAGGCATAAATGGCATTTAATACAGTTTCACATTTTATATCAAGAACTGTCTAATTTTCATGGGTACATGAGTATAAATACTATATAATACCCAGTTTTACTTATTGTAACAGCTTAAAATTATACAGCAGGGCCATTATCAGCAGCCCTTTAAGACATGAAATTATATTTGATTATATACAAGAGATGTAATGTTCCGTGTGGTGGTATTTTAGGGCCGTTTCCATATCAACCTGTCCGGCACAGGTCTCCGCATTTCTCCTCAAGCCGCCTGGAGCAGCCGAGGGTACAAAACAGTTCAGAGGATACAGAGACTACAGGTGAGTTGTTAAATGAACCACTGCTAGAACAAAGAAGCTGCATGGAGCAAAAACATAACAACTTTTATTTGGGAATTTTGAGAAAATAAAAAGTGAAATTGTATGTAGTGTAATGACCAGTGTTTAATGTGAGCACAGTTGATGCCATCCCTCAACTTCGCCCATTTTACGTAGTTAGGGTACATGCAGTGCACTGATATCACCCAAATTGTATTCTACATGTAGTTCATCTATACTTCTGTATACACATGAACTTCACTGAAATATAGATCTTACTAGTTAAGTCTAGCTATGGACTCCTGATGCCATCCAAAGTATTACAGGTTTTCTATAATGGAAGTTCTATATAACAGGTGTGTGTTCATCTCTTCTAGGATGGCGTTATGATCCATGGTCAGTGTGGAGGTTACTGTGGTCAGTGCTCTCCTTTGGACAGTGTCGGACTCAAGTTACAGCTTGTCCACTGACATCTGTGATGTTGGCTCTTAGACCAAAAATATACTTACAAAGGTATGTAGAATTATCATTAAGTTGTCCGTCTCAGGGCTGCACTGGTCAAATTGGAGGTGAAAATTATCATGATACTGTTTAAGAGCCATATTTGCCAAATTGAAAGCAAATGGGATCGTAAAACTTTTAAATCATACTGGCCAAATATAAGGCAACAATTATTATTTTCAAAATTTAGATCTAAATGAGTAACACAAACTCACCACTAGCTTCTTCAGTTATTAGTTGAATTCCTGTTTTATGGAATAGTTTATTAAATTGACTTTATGGCTGATCTTCATTTACATATTCTAATAGTTGACCTGATTTTGCAATTAACTATGATTGTCAGTTACTTAAATTAGATGATTATGTTTTGTAATATGATTGTTTTTTTATTGTTATTGCACACATTTTAAACTTAATTATTCCTTTTCAGATCTCATAACTCAAGCCATCCCAGATAATCTCCAAATGCAAAGATACTCAGTAGCTACTGCACTGCCACCTATATAATTTAATATTATAAAATGTGATCATGTGATCATCACATGATCAGTTGTCATGACAAGCTGTTTCTATAACAACAAGCATCAAAGCACAGGATTATTTTTAAAAGTAGAAGAGGGGCATTTTTCATCACATAAGCTGTGATCAAACTATTTGGATTAAATTTTCTTAGATCTTGTGATCTTCTTCTTTACTTGTTTAGAGTCCATAAAGAAATTTTTGGGAAAAAAAGGTCAGTATATTCTGATAAGCAACAACCTATGCTAGACAGGGTATTTAAGGTAAAATACGTATTTTGTTGAATTTTATTTTAGATAACATTTCTGACCTAGTTTTAATGTCATAAACAAGAATTTTATCTGGTTCTGCATCAAAATGAATGAAAATACATGTAATATATGTAGACACCTAACAACATAAACACTGCTTTAAATTTAATATTGAAAACTTATTTTGCTCCAGCAAAAGAAGCCAATGAGAAATATATTCATGTTATACATGTAGATTCAACTGTACTTAAGTTAGGAGGTTAATACTACTTAATACCGATTTGTTTGAACTGAAGATAAAAATGTCTTCCCAATATAACTGAAGATGCAAACTGACTCTTGTAAAGTTTATTATACACTTAACATGTGAACATTGTACTGGATACAAATCCTACAGCATTAGGCTGCTACATACCATAGCCCTCATTGTAAATACAACATTGTGGCCATTTCTAATGGCGCAGTCATAACTGTTTGTATATTAGCTTTTATTTATTTTATCAGGTTATTCCTGATTGTACATTTTGTATTTGTATTTGTAAAATTTTATATTACATTTTTATAGAAAAATATGAGATACTAAACAAAAGAAAGCCAGCCAAAAACTGCCATTGTCAGGGGGATCAAGTTGTGTTGAAGTCAATACACTCTTACTTGTACATAATTTATCAACTTTATTCTATACTGTAATGTTATTGAGATTTTTATTGTGTAGTTGTTTATGTAAATCTACGTGTATAGGCCGTGATGAAGTGTGGGTATTATTTTTATTATAATACCAAGTTTAACGTAGTTGTTATAACCGAAGTTTTTGTCTTTACTGACTTGTGTATATGTCGGTCGAGCGTGATGTTTCATGTTGCATGTTTAGATGTAGCCAACCAGATAATATTACTAATATATGGCTTATTGAAATATGTTAATTTTTAGCTAACTACAGAATTATTGTAGATTTTTCCAAGTTTTTATGCAAAAAATAACAATTTGTTGTATACATTTTTTATTAATTTTTTAGTATAGATATCATGAGGTACAATTAAGGTTTACCTTTGATAATGTTAATGAGCGAGTAAAAAATTATAAATGCATGTAAACTGGAGAAATATGTATATTTTACATGACATTATGTATACACGATTAAATTTAAATAGATAAACAGCTTTTAGTCCTATGGAATCAAAAATTTAGTTAAAAAATAACATATGAAACATTTTTTACCATTTGGGAGCAATAATTGCCTCTTTTGGTGTATAGTTTTTAATTTTGACAAGGATCTATTTTATGATAAAAAGCATGTTGCACAGTATGGTCTGAAGTACTTACATAATTAGTACTTATTATTCTCTTGTTTTATTACTGTTGACAAAGTTTGATTTGAATTGAGTATGATTTTACTAATAAAGACTTGCAAAAACATAGAGAAGTACCCATTTCATGCTCGCACTACAAACTGCAGAAACATTTAGCATTTGAACGTCCTTTCATATTGTAATGATCTTGAGCCTTACCAGTTTAGTAGATTTATGGAAATACTTTTAAAAAATTATTTAGACAATTAGATCATCGTTATTTAGAAGGCATTAGTAAGTGGAGGGGTCTATGGATTCAATTTTTTCTGAAGATTTTCTAGTAGTGGTTTTAAGGTCTTATTTAAAATGAGTACATCCAGAGACCAAGTCAAAGTGTTGGGACCAAAGACTTTTGATTTCACTTACCCTGAATCCCATTTCACAAAAATGGCCCAAATTTAGAGATAAAATTTCTAGTCTACTTTTAAGTCCTAAATAGTGAAGTTGTAAATTGTAATATTCCGTCTGTTTCAGAACAAGACTTGTATTACTGTGGATTTATTCTGCATTGTAGAAAAGTAAAATCTGGTCTTTAACTTCAGACTATTTTTAAAACTCAAGTTTTTTTTTTTTTGAAAAACCGGCCAATGGCACAGTGTATTCCAAACTCCAGTAATTTTGAGGAATTACTTCACATTTTGATAAGGAAACATGAAATTGCAGTCTAAGTATTTCGTGTGCTATATGTTGCATTGGGTGTGCTTGTAAGTTTTGTCAGGTTTTCTACAGCTAGAACTAAGTTCAAATCCAGCCAATTCTAACAAGAGACATGTAATGTACTTTTATTTAAAGAACTGGCATTTATAGATAAAGGACACTTTGGCATGGAATCAATATAGGCTATTTTGTGGGAAAAATGTGCCGAGAATGTATGCATACAAGTAAATGTAGTTTTGATTAATGACTGTATGTCGTCTTTAACACAAAATGTCAGATTGTTATAAAATGTAATATTTAGTAGGTCATTTCACTGGGCACTTTGTGCAATTTAACACTGAAATGCTCTTGAATAAACTTTTTTTACGAAAGGGTGTCTCCTTACTTATTTCAAAGAAAATTAATTTCAATATTTACGTGCCAGAGCAGGTGTGTATGAAGCAATCTCTTGGGTAAAATAACGCCAAAAATTATGTATTTGAAGATTAACAGGGGTCTAAAATCTTATTTATTTACAGTACATATTTGACTTCAAGAAGTAAACTGGGCCATTTAATAATATTTTGGAAACTTCCCTCTCAGCCCCTTATCAAAATACCATAATCCTTTGCCGTTTAGTCCTCGATCAAATAATCTGAGCATGACACACTTTAAATATTTATATAATATTTGTTTTATTTTCTGATTTCAAACTGCAATCAAATGTCACTAAGTTTCCGGTGCATACTTCAAAGTGATGATATCTATCTTTAAGACAACAGAGACATATGCAACTCAGTCCTTGTTTTCAACATTTTTCCAAACTGTGGCTATGTACATTCAAATTGTTCACTTCTTTTTTTCCCTCCTTTTCAATCACCTACAGATAAATATTAGCTAGTCTACCAAGGGGTTAAATTCGTAGCTGCCACATGCCACTGCGGATTCTGTTGTATTCGAAAAAATCGATTAATGGACCTGGAATGAAGAAAGAGAGAGTGACTATGTTACATTGGGTTAAATAAATCAAAGTGTGTATATTGGAAGAACAGCATGGAAACTGGCTGTTAGTATTCAAGTCTCATGATCGCTGTTCACATATTAACTCACACTGGAAATGGAGGAAGGTCAAGGGCGAAACTTTTATCATCAAACTGAACCAAGCTTTTCTTTCTTCAAACTGTGTAAGTACACACACGTGAGAGAGTAGTAAAAAAAAAAAATAGATTGCTCCACATCTATTTAAGTCAACAGCATCCACCAGGAAACTTTTGTCCATCCAAGAAAGCCAATGAACACGTCTAGTAGTTAAAGCTCTTACAACATACAACACAATATACACCATTTCAGGAGTCTTAAGTGACTTTTAAATTAACAACTTCAAAAGATGAATTATCCAGAGCTGAGAATTTCTATGTCATGTATACAGATTAGTGATTTACTTACCAACTGCGGCCACGGCCACATCTTTATCATAGACGTAAGTATTCATCACCTTCATTAGGGAGTTGGGGGTAATTCTCTGGAAAGGGAATTGAATTAAGTGTGTTATATATTGTTATCATTGTATATATTTCATGGATGGAGGGGTACTTTTCTGAAAGAAGTAGGAGAATTCAGTGTTTTATATATTGTTATTATTGTATATTTTTCTTTGGAGACTAAATTGAGTTAAGAATAAATATATATCATAGACAGACCCCAAGTCAGCGAGGGTTATGTGACATACACGAGTGCGTCACACTCCGCTGACGATTATCTGAATGAGGGAAGACAATCCACTGACGATTGTGTAAACATATTTTAAGACTTGGGAGGGGAGGGGGGGGGGGGTAGCTGAAAACGGAGATGTGATTGAGGCAGAAATGTTAACTTAAGAGTTCACAAAATATGACAACAGTACTAAGAGCACTATATGCAGACTATGAACCATGGTGCCATCACTTACATTGATACGCTCCACCATTTCATACATAGGAATGCGGTGTCCATAGGTCAGAGTTTGCCTGGAATTATGACAAGACCAGCAATTAAAATGCATAAATAAATAGTTAAACTAGAGGATCAGAGAGGCGATACCACCTCCGGATATTGTACCACCAGCTGGAGTAAGCGCATTCGTATGGACCCCCCCCCTCCAAAAAGGGACACCATCACCAGTCTTGTGCTTGACAAGCTCTATAAAATGCAATCAACAGAAGTTCTCAAAATATACAAAAAAATATAATTAAAAATGGTCAGTATTTGACTTTCTATTCAACTTCAATAGTAACTATGGACCTATCTCTGCCAGTTTTGGAGATATAAGGGACTAAATGTTATAATTTTGCAGTTACCATAATGTGCCATAAATTTCCTACAGAAAAAATTAATTAAAATAAAGAAAAGGTCATNTAAACAAATAAATCTCAGGTAGGGCTACAGATTATAACATCTGAAAAAGGTGACTATATCAAAACAAGTTTTTGGGTTGGGAAGCTTATGTCCATTCTCAAACCTGTCTGTCTGTCATCCTCAAAGATGGTGGGCCATCCATTAAAAAATTGCGCTTCTGTATGTCTTCACTGGTGTAAGAAGTTCCATGCAGTTCTGAGCATTACCCAAACCTACCTGCTGATGTGCTCACAGATGTTGGTAGTGTCATCCAACACTGTTTATTAACCAAACCTACCTGCCATTGTCCTCACAGATGTTGGTGGTGTCATCCATCACTGTGCATTACCCAAACCTACCTGCCGATGTCCTCACAGATGTTGGTAGTGTCATCCAACACTGTTTATTAACCAAACCTACCTGCCGATGTCCTCACAGATGTTGGTGGTGTCATCCAACACTTTATTAACCAAACCTACCTGCCGATGTCCTCACAGATGTTGGTGGTGCCATCCAAACCAAGCATCAGGCTAGTCTTCAAGAGGTTCTTGGCACGATTCACCTCGTATTCGGTCAGGTTTTTGCACATGTGCATCCTGTGGGTAAACATTGTAAACATTGGAGTTACACATGGTGTAATTAACAAAACAGCTCTAAACAAAATCCAAATCATTGTTAAGACCCAGCCTTACAGAAATAAGGGTTGGAAAATAAGTCCGACAGATAAAAGATATATTTTTATTTTATTTTCATTTCATATATATTTATTTCCCTAAGGAAAAAACATGAAGGGTCTCAGAGGAAATTCAGCAATTGTACTGAAAATTTTGTCAAATGCCTGAAAATAAAATCTAAGCATTCCAAGACTTTGCATTTTACAACTTCTTTGAAATTCATACACTTAATTTCTAGTATCTTACACATCTTTAAAAATTGCATGAAAATATATATAAATATATAAAGAAAGTCACATACCACTGCGCTTGGAACTGATCTACCATGTCATAAACTTTTTCCGCTTCACTCACATAATAGATGCCCCTGAAACCACAGAACAGAAATATTTAAGCAAATATAACAATTAACAAGAAGTATGACAAAAAAAAAAACTTTTCTATCAAGAATTTACCTGACAGAGTCACAAAGTTTCCAGCATAAACACCATCATAAACAATTATTTTGACAGTATTTGAGCAAAATATTAACCAGGCCTCAATGCTGAAAAACATACAGACAAAAAAATATACATGCATACGGAGGCTGAGTAAAAGAGCAGACTACAAAGACAAAAACGAAAATTCTTATTAACTCTGTGAAGTAACATGCTTCCTCTCAAAATTAACCTTTATTCCATGGGCAAAATTTCCAACAAAAAAACCTACTGATAACTATGTAGACCAACTGTGTGACTTTTGTAACATGTTGTATAGAATGAAATTACATCCTTTCTGACAAAAACTTACCAAAGCCCAGTGTCCTTGTACAATGTATTAAAGGACATGAAACTGTTGCAGAGCCCCAATTCGACACATTTAGCAATAAGTCCGCCCTGATGTTTTCCGGCCGCCTTGGACCTATCCCATGCTCCCACCATCATGCTGGCCACCTGGAGGGGGATGGTGTCCGCGTGCTTCCAGCCTGGCGTCTCCACCGCTATGGCCACATAGGCTAGGGGCATGTAGTCATCACGCTCACGTGTCTGGGAGAAGGGAGGGAAAGGAAAAGAAAATGAACATACATAAACAAGGTATCAGGACAATTCCCCCAGGACAATCCACCCCTTCAACCTCCCCCTCCCCCGACGATTCTGCCTGGAGAATATATATATATATACAAATGCAAAGTAAAGAGTATAAAGTTGAAATCTTTTCTAATCCATTTTATGAATATATTTCTTAATGTACTTTTAATTGCATCAACCCCACCTTGATCATGTTGCCCACCTTGAATCAAGGTGCATCTCTAGGGAGAGGTGGGGTAAACAGATTTTCTTACTTATCCAGGTATCCCTTTGATTATCTGTCACTTTTAATTGTTTTACCACTACCCACTCACCCACTACACTAAAATATTCATAAAGTATCTGTTTATCTGCTCATCTCTTTATCCCACCTTTACCTGGAGGATAGGTGGTTATACTTTGATTAGGTATTTAATAAAACTTTCTGTGCTTGTACTCAATGAAAAAGGGATTTTTTATTTAAAAATTTGTTTAAAAATAAAAAATGGATTAAATGTTTTGAACTTAACAGTCTTTACTTTATATTTATATATAAATATATATTCCTTTGGGGGAACTGTTGGGGGGGGGGGGGAATTGCCCTAAAATCATAAAATAATGTATAGACGTGTTAACATGATGGCTTTAACCCTGCTTATACATTTCAGAAGAAAAAAAGGTATTGTGCTGGTTGTTAGTGTGTTGGCAAGCTTTTTTGCACACAGATCTTGAGAACAAAATATCTTGCAACAGATCTGGAGTGAAAAGAAAATCTTGCCACAGACTTGGAGTGATGGGAATCTTGCCACAAATCTGGCAAAAAAATCTAACATAGCTAAAATAGTACAATTTTCATATAATTAAATTCAAGAAAATAATTGGTAAATTTAAAATAAGGGAAATCACATTAACTACCATACAACCTGTTACTTTAATTAGAAAATAACAAGGATCTACATCAAAAGGAAATGCCACTCACATCAGCGCCTGTGAACTTGCATTTTGCTGGTGTGAAGTCTTCTTTAGTTTCTGGCATATCACCAAAATATTTCTCAGCAAGCTTAACCAGTTTATCATGATCCACACCTAGAAGGATAATGAGAGAAAAATCTGAAATGCATCTCGTCAAAAAAAAAAAAAAAAAAAAAAAAGGTGGTAATTCAAACAAAGCAGGTTCTAAGGTGATATAAAGAGAAAAACATTAAACATACATTTTGGTAAAAAAATTAATAAAGCAGAAAAAGCAGCTTCTGGTCTTTAACGTGCAAAGCCTCTGGTAAAAAGTATCCCTTCTTTTTAAGATCATATCATCTCTTACCTCCTGCTGCTGCTAGCACCATTCTGGGAGCTACATAATGGGTATCTACATACTGCTTCAGATCTGCTCGCCTGATTGACCTTGACAAAAAGATCAACAAGAAATTAAAAAAAAAAAAAGAAAAAAAAAAAAAAAACTGAAATAACCATTAATTTATCACACAAAATCTAATACTTAACAGACAGACCCTAATTTCCTGTCTTTGGATAGATGCTCAAGGGCAACAGTACCAAAAATAATAAAATTTCTAGATTAAAATTAATACAATTCATTGTCTAAAGAAATAGTCTCAGGGCCAAGAAAAATATTAATTTCTCTGTATTTGGTCAAACTGAAACAAATGAACAACAATAAGCTTCAACATGAAGATCACCATCATATTAAATTTCTTGAAAAAAAAAAAGAAGGTTTTGAAAGTAAAAACAAATAATTTTCTTTAAAATCTCACTTGATGTTGTCCTCAGGCCCCAGGATGGTCATCCCCAGGGGAGTGTTTTGATAGGCAGTCATGTGGAGGTAGTCAAACACCACCTCCTGCAGGTTGGTCTCCACTTCCTGCATTTCTCGCAAAATCACGCTGCGTTCCTGCTCTATGTCCTCCTCGTTCAGGTTACTGTTACGAACAATGTCTGCGAGGATCTCTACCCCTGAAAAAATACAATAACAAGTGTCCACAGCAAGCGCTACTGATTCCGAAAAAAATACAATAACAAGTGTCCACAGCAAGCGCTACTGATTCCAAAAAAAATACAATAACAAGTGTCCACAGCAAGCGCTACTGATTCCGAAAAAAATACAATAACAAGTGTCCACAGCATGGGCTACTGGTTAGCCTGTGAACTGTTTTTATTGCAATGCTTGAGCAGAGCATTTGAATAGAACTTCTATCAAATGGTGATTCCATCTTTGAGAGTGTTTCTTAGCAATTCTCAGGTGAAGACAAAGAGTCCAACATATCAAAATGATTCTACAGGTTAACAACATCCCAGACATTATGATTTGTAAAATTTGTCAAACAATGGGTCTGCAACCAAGGATCACCCAAAGCAAAGCAAAAAAAACTCCAAACCTTTTTCTATGTCCTGAGAGAATATCTTAGCGTGATACACAGTGGTTTCTCTAGAAGTGTAGGCGTTTAAATGGGCACCCATGTTCTCCACCTCCAGCTCCAGCTGAGTTTTTGTTCTGCTTCCAGTGCCCTAAAAGTTCATCAACATATGTATATAGAAGCATGAAATTTGTATGATACATATATATGTACACCAAACAGTAAGCCATTCATATGAAAACATGCCACATGATCAACTTTAAAAATTAAAATATCCCAAATATTACATCATGTTACAAGACAGCACTATGTCAAGCAGCTGTCAAGTGTATAGATATATAAATGACAAAACTGCCTAAAACAGTTTCAACAAAACCATTCTAATGTGGTGACTCAATACTTAAATGATGAAAGAGCACAAAATAAATCAATATCAATATCTTTTGTCAAAATGATCCCATCATGCAAGAACCTGGCTCTTTACAAAAATAATAATAATAATAATAAAAAAAATAAAGGAAGAAAGAAAGAAAAACAAATCAGTTAATATAAACTGATTTTAAAACAAAAATTTGGTTTGTCAGGGTAAACAACAGACTTTCCCAACATTGACGGGAACAACGCGGGCAGACAGTGTTCTAAACACACACGGAAACAATGTCAGAATGTAAAATTAATTTTAGCTGAGCAATTTAGAACTGAGAAAGCTTTGACTCTTAAATAACAACTAACATGAACTGTAGCATGAAACTTCTGCACCTTATAATTGTTCACCAAATGAATTGATGGAAAAGTTCTTTTGAAATGAAAACTTTTGGCAGTAATTATTCTAGATCAATATTAAATTACAATTCAGGGATCCCAATTACAAACAGCAAAGTTGTACTGCATCGTATCGGCACAACTTGAGGCCAGACACAAGGAATTAATTAATTACAGTCCCAACACACTCAATGTCTTACTGGTACCTAAACGCCCCTCTTAAAAGTACAGTCTGGTTCTTATAAACTACACTCCCCTGCATCTCAGTGTGGTTTACTACAGATGACAATATGCTTGGGATATCTCATGGTTCTGATTCCGCCTGGAAAGCGTAAAGCCACCTGAGGTGGTAAATGCTAGCATATAAACAATAGCCTCCAATGTCAGGTGGGGTACTTCATGGGCGTAACTAGGCATATGCACGGATGGACTGTGCGTACAATTTTTTGAGCCAATCATGATATTATTCTCTATAAATTTAGTGTATTTTTCACGAAAAATAATCGAAAATCCTCTTCGATTGCAAGTAAGAGTCACCTGAATGTACAAATCTTCTGTATGAATCGTATACGCACCACTGTTCTGACGCCCCCCGTCTCGTTTGCTTTCACAGAACTGAGGTAAATAAACAATACTAGCTACCTCCAGAAGTCCTATCTTAATCGTCCATCTAGCTGGAACTTCCTTTGCCTCTTAATTGGAGGTTTGAATGCCCTTCAACTCTCAGGTAGCCTTTATATTAAGTGTGTCGAATACACACTCGCTGGCGAGATTTATCTCAGATAAAAATCTACCTGTGTTATTTTCAAAGAGCAGTTCCAGCAGACCTGGGGACACTAGATAAAATCTGGACAACGGGCTTTATAAGGAGCCAGAGAAACAAAAAAATATTTCCTGCAAAGCTCTAAAGAATTTTGACACGGACTTGACCCAGCTTAACCCTAAACTAACAGGGTGATATGGGTAATTTTCACAAACAAACAGAGCTTTATCCTGTAATATAATTGGTTGATTTTGGATGATACCATATATAAGTTCAACTTTTAGAAGATTCATCATTAATCTGACCATGGATATGACGAATAGGATAGCAAGAAGGTGCAAGAATCCTACAACGATCAACTGTTCTTAAGATTATTTTCTGACAACTCGGGATAACCGCAACAAACCACATCGAACAAAGGTGCCTCACCGTTATTTAGAATTTGGCTTGATACAAGCGGGCATAATTTGCATATGTTTTCAAAGTTTGTCAGTAAGCCCCTAGTTCAATAAATATACCATTCTAAGCAAGGCTTTTTTCAGCGAGCCCTCCAGCTGCCAATTGAACGGCCGCTGTCATCACTGGACGGCCTATGTTTTCAAATTTAGAAGGCTGGATGGCTTACGATTAAAAAAGTCTTGACTTGTCGGGGCAGCTGTGGACGTCGTATGAAAATCCATTGCAGTAATTTGACGTATGAATATTATACTACTTTGTAGTGCACGCTGTTTTTCAGTCACGACGTAACTACTACCTAAAGCTTACAAAACACAATAAAATGTTTCCATTGACTTTAAAATATATAATGCAGAAGTGACAAGAATGATCTACATTCGGTACAAAACACGTGTAGGCCCTAAATGAAATATGACCTAACTTGCCGCCAAATTATGAAAGGGGACACCTTTCGGATCTTTATACGTATGGCACCTGACAAAGCTAATACATAACAAAGGCAATTTTTATATCTTCGGCGAGAGATTGTTCGCAATCCGAAAGAGACGAGAAGGCAATTTTCATATTTGTTCAAGAGACTTCGTTAACCGAGGATCGGGAACAAGAGATAGTTACCGACCGCAGCGAGATGAGAAGCCAATTTTCGTATCTTCAGCAGGAGATCGAGCATGATCTGAGCGAAAAGAGAAAGCAATTTTCACATTCGTTCAATGGACTTCGTTCGCAGAAGATCGTCAGCCAGAGATCGTTCGCGATCCGAGCGAGACGAGAAGGCAATTTTTATATTCATACAAGGGCGTTCTTTCGTGGAAGAGCGTGACGGGAGATCGGTATCAATTATTTTTAACCC